GAATGCTAAAAAGAAAAAGAATGTAAAAAGAAACAAGACAAACAATAAAAAAATGTGATATAATCAATAAAAAGCTGTTGTACTTCTTTATTCATAAGCTTGCGAGTATGAGTGCATGATTGTCAACACAAAAATTTTTCTAGTTGAAAAATTTTTTTTTTCTCAGTAACGAAGTAGAAACCGAAAATGGGACCTATACTAGATTGAAGGTAGCGTATCAGAGAATCTCCATAAAAATTATGAGCGCAAAAAAAAGTGGGGTTTTTTAAATAAATCGAGTTTTTTATGAGATGCATTTTTTTGGAAAAAGTGCATAATCTTCTCGGAAATGCATTAGTGCATTTATTTTAATGCATAGATTTGAAGGCTCTGTATTTCTCTATCGTATAAAAAAAGATTTATTCAATTCCGATGATAAATAAGCATGCGCGAATCGATTGAAATTGAATACGATATTTTTTTTTTGTTAGTCTGTTTTCTGAAAGTGCATCTTTCAAGTACGTTGTTGATGCACCTATGCATCTTGGGGGGAAAAGAAAAAATAGGGGTCGTCTTATTTTGGGCCTAGAATATTATCCAAGTATTTTGATGTTGTTTCGTTACCGGTCACCCGGTGCCCTGCATGATTTGAGGTGGAATCAGCCTAATGGTTAAAATAAAATTGGCTTACATACGCAAGGAGTAGCTGCTGCAGCCAGTCGCCTTAGGAAATCGTAGGAACTCGTCGTGTAACGATGTCAAGTTAGGATACCTGATACTTCTCTCACTGCCGCTTTTTTGTAGGTACTCGCACCGTCGCTTTGTTGAATCCTATCTGGCCTAGTATCTACAGGCAAAAATATACAGGGTGCTGCGCTGACACTCGTTGTCCTACTTCTTCGTCCTAATATTACCTTTACACGCCGGTTCCCGGTATACGAAGCTTGGCCACACGTCATACAGTATTTTCAGCATTCACGTATCGCACTTTCCAATCAAAAATTCGCTTAATCTGCCAGCTTTAAACGCGAGTTACTGCTTGCCTTGCCGGCCGAACAATGCCCGTTTCTCGTAGTTTTCCTCCACTCCCTCTTTTTTCGCGCCACGTGAGTAGAGCCCCGCTTGGACTATAGCAGCCCAGTGTGCTTCTATATATCTCTCTCTCTCTCTCTTACTTTGGTTCGCTCGCTCGCCCGTCGATTATTTCCGAGAATTTTTGCGCGACGAGCCTGCCTGTTACGATATACCGGGTGTTCCAGACCATCCGAACAGCCATTTTAAAATCGAAAATTCGTGTTTTTGTGAAAAATGTTTCAGATGAAAGTTGTTTACGACAAAGGGGGCCATCTATCTGTATAATTAGATTTGACCTTGAAAATCGTTTTCAAGGTCATTTGAAGGTTGAATTGTTTTTTTAAATGGGAACCCCTATTTTTGACATCGGATTCGAAAAGAGCGGGTAATTTTACGTCCACAAAGATATTTTAAAATTTTTTTTCATGGCCTTGAGAAGGTCGATTTAAGGTCAAATGCTTGAAAAACTGCCTAAAAGCGTTTTTTTAATTTTTAAGATATCGAAAAATAACCTCTACAAAATTTGTTCAGAACAGAGTGGGACACCCAATGCACCAAAAACCTTTGACCGTAATCGTCATTTTGAAGGTTATTTCAAGGTCGAAGTGTTTGCCGGCTTGTCGTGAGATCTTAAGGTCGCATGTGCAATGCAGCCACCCTACGCGAGGACCACAGATGTTTTCGACTTCCAGGCACAAATACCGTAAACAATATACACACACACACACACACAAACACACACACACACACACACACACACACACACACACACAAGGTGTCCCATTTTAACTTGCCCAGTAGAATATCTCAAAACTTGACAAGATAATCGAAAAATGTTTCAAACGAAAGTTGTATGGTTTAGAGGGGGTCAATTTATGATAATCCAACTGCAAACTTGACCTTGAACTTGATTTTCAAAGTCATTTCAACGTCAACTTTGTTTTTTTAATGGAAACCCCTATTTTTTATCCCGGATTCGGTTAGAGCGAGAAATTTTATGTTCAAATCACGTAATATGTGTGAGGTCCAAATGACCCCCACCCTATCCCCAAAGTCATTTCGAGGTCAATATTACTTTTTGAATAGGAACACTCATTTTTCGTCGCAGGTTTGAATTCATGACTTTGGGGGTGGGGTGGGGGGTCATTCGGACCCCTTAAATATCCCATCATCTGAACATACAATTTCACGTAGAATTCAAACCTGTGACGAAAAATGAGGGGTTCCATTTAAAAAGTAAGACTAACCTCGAAATAACTTTAGGGGTGGTGTGGAGGTCATTTGGATACTGCACATATTGCATGATTTGAGCGTAAAATTTCCCGCTCTATCCGAATCTGAGATAAAAAATAGAGATTTCCATTAAAAAAAACATAGTTGACCTTAAAATGACCTTGAAAATCAAGTTCAAGTTCAAGTTTGAGGTTATCATAAGTTGATCCCCTCCAAATCATACAACTTTCGTTTGAAACATTTTTCGATTACCTTGCCAAGTTTTGAGATATCCTATTGGGCAAGTTAAAATGGGACACCCTGTATATAAGCTATTATTGAAATCTGTAAAAGGTAAATACAGATAAACAATTTTTTTTTCCATGCGTATTATTTGATGTCTCAGATGATATTTGACTGACAAATAACTTTCTCAAGCCTCTAATAATTTAACTACTTGAGAAATCAGGTAAAAAATTTTTTTATTGATATTAATCTTTACAATTTAGCATTTTATTAAGTTTGCTAATTTATTTTTTTCGTTTATTATTCTTGTTTGGTGTTTAATAAAGCGTGAAGAAGTCAGCGAAATTGATGACAAAGCATTGCCGAAACAAGGATTTAGTTATTAAATTACTTCAATTACATTCCCTTGTTATCTAAAATAATTCAGAATTCCAATTTTAACTTATTTATAATCTAAAAATATTGAAATCATTATCTTAAATACGAGTACATCTAGTGAAACGTAGAATAATCATACATTAGGTATCTACACTGCCCGTCAATCACTTTTGCCATGCTTACCTCAAAATTAGGCAAATTTGAAAGTTTTGTATCTCGGTCGAAAATCATCGTATCACAAAAAACCGCAGGGCATTTTAAAGGTAATTGCAAAAGCTTCCATTTAAGATGTGCAGAGACTTAAAAATGAAAATACGAGGTGTGTTCAAAAAATACCCGGAATTTTTAAATTTCGCGGCTCGGGAGAGTCCGATAGTCAAAATTTTTTTTTATTGTATTGGTATACATGCCCCTGAAGTATGATAAAATTTTCAGCTATATTCACTGTTTACTTTGTCTGCGGTAGTCGCAAAGGTTTGACGTGTTTTTATGAGCTCGGCGATTTTCGTTTTTTAAAAGAAATGGATCAAAGAATTTGTATTAAATTTTGCGTAAAAAATGAAATAAAGTGTAACAAAGTGTGTGAAATGTTACAAAATACCTATGGTGAGTCTGCTATGAAAAAAACAAGTGTTTACGAGTGGTATAAGCGTTTCCAAGATGGCCTCGAGGACGTTGAAGATGACGGACGCTCCGGTAGACCCAGCACGTCAACAATCGATGAAAATGGGAAAAAAGTGGAAAAAATGGTTCTGAATGATCGCCGAATCACAATTAGAGAAGTTGCTGATGAAGTTGGCATATCAATTGGCTCATGTCATAACAATTTTTCAAATGTTTTGGGCATGAAACGGGTGGCAGCAAAATTCATTCCAAAATTGCTGAACTTTGACCAACAAAACAATCGCATGAACATCGCTCAGGAGCTGTTAAATGACGTCAACGACGATCCAAGTTTGCTTGAAATGGTCATAACTGGTGATGAAACATGGATGTACGGTTATGATGTCGAAACCAAAACACAATCGTCCACCTGGAATTCAACATCACCAAGAGCGAAAAAAGCACTTTAAGTTCGATCAAGTGTGAAGATTTTGCTTACAGTTTTCTTTGACTGCAGGGCCGTGGTTCATCATGAGTTCTTATCACAAGGTCGTACGGTTAATAAGGAGTATTACCTTGAAGTTATGCGCCTTTTGCGAGAAGCAATACGAAGAAAACGCCCAGAATTGTGGAAAAACAATACGAAAATAAAGTCAAAATAAAGAAATAGAGAAAAAGTTTTTTTTCGGTTTTTTAGCGCATTAAAAACATAAAGGAATTTAACTTTTTTTTACGCTTAGTTTTAAAATGTCTAGGGACGTAGTAAATCACAAAAAAACTATAACTAAGCGTAAAAAAAAGTTAAATTCCTTTATTTTTTTAATGCGCTAAGGAACCGAAAACAAATTTTTTCACTATTACTTTATTTAGACTTTATTTTCGTATTCTTGGACACAAAATGACACTTTTTTCTCTTTGGCATTTTTTTTCAAAACGTACGCAAGTCGAAGTAATTGAGGATTGGAAAAAAAGGTTGCTTTTTACAAAAAACGCCGTAACTCGGTTAAAAAACATCGGATAGAACCCCCCGGGAGCTCATTTTATAGGGAAAGACATTACCCTCCGAATCCCTCAGGTCGATTTGCCCTCCACCGCCTGGTTCTAAATTGGCATTGATTCAAGTCGAGGTTAAAAAAATTGAAATTTTTTTAATCAGTTTTTTTACTGTAAATAACAAATATTTTCATTTTTAAGTCTCTGCACATCTTAAATCGAAGCTTTTGCAATTATCTTTAAAATGCTCTGCGGTTTTTTGTGATACGATGATTTACGACCGAGATACAAAACTTTCGAGTATGCCTAATTTTGAGGTAAGCATGGCAAAAGTGATTGACGGGCAGTGTAAGTGAATAATAACCTCTACAATCACAATAGACTAATCTTAGAACTGAAAGAAGGCTATTCAATAAGGAGTAAGCCTACAAGTAGCTACAAGTTCTAACTTGATGATAAAAATTTGAAATGTAGCTTTATGCTATTGGCTTTATAATTATATAATATATTTCCAGGACGCAGGAAAAATGAAACTTCTTTTAAACGAATCCAATATAACTTGGCCAGGTAATGTGAAATCCAAGCCCGAAGGATTTCTTATTCCTACACATTTAAACGTACTTACGGTTGAAGAAAAACCATTTGTTTATGTAAGAAAGTCGAATAATTACGGCTGTAATCAAGATGAAGTTCTTTGTCCAAATTATAAATCCATTGATGGAAATGAAGGTAAGTATTATTCTAAATAAAAAAATGTTAACTCTAATATAACATTAACTGAATTTAATAATGTTATTTTGGAACTAGAAATTCTTTTCTTTGTGCGCGCGTTTTAACCTTAGTATATAACGGAAAATTTCCAATTAACCATTCATTAATTTACCGTTTCCGTTCCCGTTACCTCAATTGCTAGGCCCACAAGGGATGCCATGTAACGAAAGCTCGTTCGTTGTCAATTTTTAAGGTGGGCAAGTGAGGCACACTCGCTCATAGCAGTCGAGGCGAGAGGGGGGGTAAAAAAATGAAAGTGATTAGGGAATTATAGACATAACAAAATTATAGACATAACAAAAATGTCGCATTCAAATCAAATCTAATTCTAATCAAATCAAAGTCAAAATAACACTTAAACTTCAAAACCGTACATGAACAACCGCAAAAGAACAAACCGCATAATTATACTTATAACCAGCTTTACAAATCTTAACCTAATGAACATAACGGTGTTGCAAACACGTCTTAAGACTATAGAACACAACGGTGTTCTTAGCACCTAATACAATACCAATACAATAAACAAATTAACTAACTTATCGCACTTACAAATCTAAACGATACACAGCACGCGTAACTATCGCCGACGGTAATTAGGGCAGGTAGCCGGCGTGTGCACGCCTTGCTACCTATCTGACCTTTACAATTACGCGCTGTGCCATACCGTTGAAGAGAGAGAGAGAGAGATAGAGAGAGAAAGAAATTATATTGCGAGCGTTGACCTTTAATGCAGGAACGGGATGCCTGGCTGCGTCCTGCCGATGTTGCTGGCCGTCGCTGAGCAACTCCTGCCGACTACTGCGGGTAGCGTCCCGAGCAGAAGCTAGAACAAGGCACTCGTCCTCTTTTCCTCTCGGTCCTTCACAGTTTTTTAGCGACATGTGCGTCCGGCTAACTCTTTGTTCTCAACCGCACTTTGCACCTCTCACCGACTAAACCGTATTAACTTCCGATCGACTGGAAAACCTTCTGACTGACTAGTCGACTCACTACCGTCTGTGTCGCTCATTTTCTTTCGCGATCGACAGCTTCTTCCTCGTTCTTTCTTTCCCCACTTGACCTACTGATTAGAGGGCGCGCGACCAATGCGCTAATTGGTTCGCGACGCGCGCCTGCCTAATCTTGCGTGGGGCACGCATGCCCCTAACTCTCTCTTTATAACACCTTTATACTCTGTCGTCAGCGTAATAGCTTCGGGCCGGCTGGGCCACACTCGGCAATCTCCGTCGACTGAAAGAAAGACCATGCATTAGGCGCATTTAAGAATAACGCTGGTCACCGTGCTTTGCCGAGAGACAGGGAGAATTAGGGAAAATACCGACGAGAACAAGCGCAACGTTTGCTTTCGTCACAAACTTATTATTAGCATAAACCACATAAACAAACTAATTCTCAAGACTTACTACTAATACAAACAATTAATAATACATTGATTCGCTTGTCTTACCACTAACAAATAATACCAACAACGTGTGTGGACCTTATCATTACTACAGATGACAAATAAGTCGCGGATCGCCCAGCAACAGGATCGTCTTGACGATTCGCGTTTCAGAAAAGCCGCTGCTCGTACAAAGAATCTCGGAGGCTAGCGAGTAAATGCCGGGTTACCGAGTATAGCCGTACTTGGTTTAGCCGGTGAAACCTTTGAGAGAGAGAGATAACCTGATGCTTGTATTACTGGTTTGCCAAGTAATGCAGATCTCGCTGTAGGGCTGAAGCACGAAGGGATGCTGTCATCTCGTCATGACTAGGCGTCTCTGCGAGGTCAACGAATATACCGTCCACTTCTTTTTCGTGGTATTCCTCCGAACAAAGAGACTCTCTCTCTCTCTCTCCACAGGCTGGTAGACCTTATTGCGTCGAACCACATTTCATGTCAAGGAGCCCATGAGAGAACTACTTAATAACTGCCTACACTCGCTGCTTGCTCTCCACTGCTTCCTACTTTCTACCAACTTCCTTATCACCGTTCGGTTTCGCTCTATTGCATCCCTACTTGATCTGTGACAGGGCTCATAGCAATGTTCGTTGGCCCTGGACACGGCACTCTCCTCGCACGGATGCGGCAACCGAGCGTGGCTATGGTGATATAATATGTTGCACGGCTTGGTGAGGGAAGGGCGCGGCCGGCGGAGAGAACGGCGCGAGAAAGAGCGAGAAGAGCAGAGGAGAGGGGAAGAGAGAAGAAGGGCGAGTGAGAGCACGGAAAGCACGGCCCGATTATCAAGTCACAGGCATTTACTTGTTAGACCGACGGTGCACCGGCTACGATTACCGAGGATCGGATCTTTCTGCTGTAGATACTCGGCTGCTTCCAGCAACTCTTACATCTGCTATCGTTAGGCGAACAAGAAGCCAAGGACGCGCGCAAGCGTCCATCAGACCATCGCCGGTGATCTCACGAGCTCCATTTCTAGCAGGGCTGCGTTTTCGACGACGACGGCTCTCCACCAGTGATTCGCGGGTAAAGTTACCCGGTGGGTCGCACAAAATTATTTTCTCGTGGACTCTCTCCCGCATCAGTTCTCACCCGGCGTAACGCTGCAATTTGTATTTGAAGCGCTAAATTAGTTGAGCGAATACGTTCCTAAACTTTGTTTAACCGTCGCATTTAAATAGTCAAGCAAATACGCTCCTAACCTTCGCCTGTTGTTGCGTCTTAACGGTTTGAGCGAATGCGCTCACCATTATTATATTAAAAATAGTTTCGTGTATTGTTATTGTATTGGTGTTACAAAGAGAACGCCTTTTTGTAATTATACCGGCTTGCTTCCTTCACCTTTCCCGTCATCGCGTTAGATTTGCGCTCGTGGGAGTTCATGCCGGTTCCAATTATCGAAATACAGCCCACATTAAATCGCAGGGGCGTAACATTGGCGTATTAAGCTGCGAAATAATTTTCCCCCTTTGCATGGCATCCATTGTGTTCTTTCAGCGAGAGAATTTTCCGCATCGCTTTGTGTGATGAGAGGTGAAGGTGATCGTGAACCCAGTTAGTTGGAATCGCATTTCTTCTTTTAGTTTGTGTCATAAATAATGCAGTACATTGATTGACCTTGGTGTTTTCGGCGAGTTCGCTGAGTTGCGGGTAAGTACCGGTGAGACGCTGGAAAAGTCTAAGATTTTATTTGAATTGAGTTTTATTTGTTGTCCATATCATCAACACGTTAAGCTCAGGTTACGCAGAAGCTCGAATGTTCTGAGAAAGGCAAGAGTGAAAGTCGCTTTTTGTTTACATCGCGCAATTAGCGCCAGTAATATGAAGTCGAGTGTCGAATTCGAGGCCACGAAGAGAGCCCGGTATTTCAGCTAATGTGTTTGAGCGTATGTTATGAATGTATGGTATGAGTGAATAAAGTGCGAAATTCGCACTGCTACTTCTAGCTGTTGTAAATTCGAATATAAACAAGCGTAAGTTAAACGAACTTACGAGCGGCGAGTGGGACTTTATGTTGCGTGCTCGCATCAAAGTCACTGCTGCGGTGAAACAGCGTGGGCACGAATAACCGTCGCGAGTCAAATAACAGATTTTTGGCGGATTTGTTTGTTTACGCCGGAATAGGCGAATAGGACGATGCCGTTGGCAAGGTCGCTGAAACGGCCGAAACCGAGTGAGTCATGGCCGTGGCCATAGACTTTGTAGTGTCGGGTCATGAGGACGCCGGAAATAAAAGAATTATGGGAGCGCACGCAAGAAATGCGGCTCAATGATTTGTTAGTGTGGATGTCGGCGCAAGGCTTAGTGACGGACGGCACAACGACTACCGTACAAGATAGAGCATTACGCGCATTTTTGTATAGCGCACGCCACGTGTCGGCGTTCTCGACAAAGGCAGAGGACTTCGTAGCGAGTGAAATTCCGACAACCCTTACCACGTCGGTCGTGTCAGCGATACAGGCCAGGTCGCTGCTAGAGACGCTGGAAGCAGCGGTATGCGCAGTGATCAATGCGAGGCGAGCGTTGAGCGAGGACTTATAATGCGGCGACGCGGAGTCGTCGGAAACGCGTATCCGCGTAACCGGTGGTATAACTGCGAACAAAGAGTCGCTCGGAACAAATTTAAAATCAGGACTGAACCGATTGGCGTCCATGGACCTCGCGCGGCAGGGGGGCCTTGCCGATAGGCAAACCGAAGTGGCGCGAGCTCGCGTAGGGCAGCGACCGACCAGCTATCATGGGCAAGAACTGTCGATATGGCGGCGTGTGATAAGCTTGATTTGGCCGTTGCGAGAAACGTTGATAGTACCCAGAGCGCGAAACGCTGAAGTGCAAGGCGAAGTGAATAACGGGAAACGCGAGGACACGCGGTTCCAGAGACACTAGCACACCGTTGCGGGAAGCCCTCAACGCGACGTCAGAGGAGGATGTGCATAGATCTGAGACCGGTAAATAAGGTGACAAAAGCGGATGCATACCCGATGCCGAGTACGACGCGATTCTCGATCGTATGCGAGAAGTGCGATTTATTTCGAAAATCGATTTGAATAATGCATATTTACGAGTACAAGTAACGTTAAGCGAAGAAAATAAAAAGTATACGGCGTTCGCAGTTCCAGGGATAGGCCTATTTGCATGCAATTACATGATCTTCAGGCTAATGAATGTGCCGGCAACTTTTATGTGTGTGATGGATGCACTTTTCGGTCCTGAGTTAGAGTCGTTCGTGTTCAAGTAACTTGATGACATTATAGTCGTGACGGAGACTTTTAGTGACCATCTGGTGTGGCTTGAGCGGGTGCTGTGGAAATTGGTTGATGTAGGACTCAAGGTCAATATAGGAAAGTGCGAATCCGAATGTTCAGAGGTGATATTTCTAGGTTACCGACTGGATAGCCAGGGGCTACGACCTGACGCGGACCGGATCCAGCCGGTGGTTGAGTTTCCTCAACCTAGAAATGTCAAACAACTCCGACGCTTCCTCGGCATATGCGGGTGGTATGCGTGATTTATC